GTCCGGGCTTCGCAGCCTCCCATTCATTGCCACCTCCACGTTGGCTACACAACCCCAACAAACTCTTTCGATAGCTTCACTCTAGCTCCCTCTTTATCTTCAATCCTCCTGCTCGTTTTTCTCCATCAAAAACACGCGTACAACAAATTGACTTAGTATACATTCGGATATCTATGCAACTTTAACACCAAATTCTTTGGAATTTTGTCTTAAGACAGGCACCGAGGTACTTTCCACCAAACTGCAATTGGATCATTTCAGCTATTTTACATTTTATTTTTTGTTCTATCTGATTGTATCTCCTTTAATTAATCAACATCTGTTCGTATTAACGACGCTTAAATGGTGTTCACGTTTGAAGTGGAAAGTGATCTAGGCAGAAACCAAATTATGCATTAGTTAGCTCAATTCAGTCATACTACCCAGTAAAATGTGCCAATGACACCAATCGACCAAACCGCCTTGATCCTCCATACCGTCTAATAGTTGGCTCCAAGTCCGCTATTGGTATTTGTATAAAAACTTAACGGAATCTTTTGTCATTTGAATTATCTTATCTCAGACCTTATATATCTGAGGCTCCCTGTTTTCACGACTTTCTATCCTGTCTTCCAGAACCAGAAGCTACGTACTTGACAATTTCCTACTTGAATGGTGGGACAAGGTCAGAGAAGTGAAGCCGAATCCCATCACTATTAGACTGCAAAAAGATATCAGCCGCTACCAAGTAAGTCTGAGACCCCGTTTTCTTATAGCCAGCTCTGGTGTTACGGCTACTGAATATGGCGACTTATTGCAAGAACTTTACGGCCCAAAGCTAAGATACTTATTTTCCTAAGCGAGAAGCGCTGAAACAGTGCTGAATTGGACGTTTTCGTTGAAAGATTGAAAGATTGCACGTCAAAGCTATGTTTTAAAACTGGGTGAAACCTCTCATAATGGCATACTCGTAAAATTATGATTTAAATCTACTCCGGTTTCGAGAGTTTTGTTGTGTTGTGCTGCCTAAACAGAATGGCTCCGAAATCACTAATTTTTGAAGCCTTTTACTGTGAGATAAATAAATCATATGGGAAGACTGCCTTCTTAGAACACTAATCACCATTTATACGTAAAGTCTGCCCCAGTCTCTCTTTATTAGAAAAATAAAGGCGAATTTGTGCCTTCTGCTCTTTAGCCAGAGGGAATATAGCCTGCCATTTCTGATTTTTGTCGGCTTAGCGTTCAAGCTCATTATTTGTCAGAAGCAAAAAAAAAATTATTTGTTATTTTTGCTATAACAGTTAGTTTCATAATTAGCCTGAACTTGATTGCTGTTGAGGTGTACCAATGATAGCTAGCCAGCTTACAAATAATTGAAAATAATGATTGATTTTTGGAATTCATT